AAAGCCAACATATTCTGCCGGCAGGTTTCTACATTTGAAGTTAATTTAGGCGTTAATAAACTGTTTCAGAGGAGTGATCATAGCGCTCTGCATCAACAGCGCTGCGTCTGACTCCCTGCCAGCTCCCAGATCAGCTTCTCGCATGGGTTCATGTGGAGCTAAAGCAGCTAAAGTTTCATTTTTTCATCTCCAGCAGCTGCTGCTTGTGACATTTTGAACATTTGAGTGAAGTTTCCATGAGTAAACGTTCTAAAAACAGGGCGTACAATTTAGATTTTTTTAGTAAAGGCAGTACAATGTACGCCCGTACGCACTGCTAGCTAAAAGCCTGCTTTAAATCTTAAAATCATAGTTTCTATTTTAAGGAGTAAAATCCTTCTGGTTAAATTGGTGAAAGTTTGTTTTATCAGTTTAGCTTCATAAACCAGGAGATGTTTGAAGGTCAGGAAAGAAACAGATTAATTCAGCAGCAGTTCAAGGAGAGAAACCACATTAATGTTCAAGGAGGAACCGATGAGAAAGGAATGAAACACCCAGACATGTTACCCAGTTCTCCGTCCGGCTCGCCCGCTTCTCCAGGCCTCTCTGCAGACGCTCTCCGACTCCTCCGGCCTCCTGGAAGTCCTGGACCAGCCGCCTGGTGAGGCTCAGCTCCTCGGCCTCCACGATGGGCTCCAGGGCCGTGATGTAACGCTCACAGGTCTGCTGCAGGGGGGGCACAGGCAGACTGGGCAGCCCCTTCTGATGGGTCAGGTACCTGCCTGCCACCCGGGTCGCTGAGACGGGCTTCACCAGGTGGCGGGGCCTCCCGAAGGCGCATTTTTTGGCCATTCCCACCTTTCAGAGAGAAAACAGAAAGTTTTATCTCAGTGGTTAGAGGAGGAACAGGAGCTATCCCTAAAGCTGAGATCAGACGGAAACTTTTAGTTGCTGCAGAAAGATTCAGTGAGACTGAAAAAGTCAAATCTGTTCTCTAATGTGCAGCTTCAAAGGAAGCCTACATTTTCATTCAAAGCTGAATAAATGTGCAGCAGAAAATTGAAGCTTTATGGGCTTTTCTGTCCCATAACATTAATATTAGCCACTGTATTCATAAAACACTTCCTGGAGCAAAGGTCACAGATTAGTGGACTGCGGTCCGGATCCAGAACCACCTGCTGGCTAATCTGGACCCAACCTGATTTAAAACGTTTATAAATTACTGCATGTCGTCTGACGACAGTGTCTAATTTAACTTGCGCCTCTTCTCCAGTTAA